CACACACACACACACACACACACACACACACACACACACACACACGCACACACACACACACACAAATTGTTGAATTAAAAGAATAAATTAATTATATTGGAACTATTCAAGTGAATTGCTTGGCAGCACTTGCCAATTGATAACCTCAGTTGCATGGAGTAAATCCAGCCACAAATAGCATTCAAGCCTCTCTGATTTCTTGATTCTTACCATGAGCGAGGAAAATTGTGTAATAATTGACAAATTTAAGTAAAAAGACATGGAGACTTGGTCGACAAGCTCATTAACATATGAAGCAAGCAAAAAGAGGCCTAAGCAGGAGCCTTGAGGGATTCCTGAGACTACCTCAATATTGGAGGCAACGGCATCATATAACTTAACAGCTTGAATTCGATTCTTGGAAGAATTGGGAAAGGCCACCTCGGATACCAAGGGTCTGGAGCAAACGAAGGAGTTTCCTGTGGGAAGTAAGATCGAAGGCTCCAGCAGTGTCAAGGCAAACTATAATAACAAGCAGACTGTGACAGTCAAGTTGACCTGGAAGCTTAAATGGCGAAGACGTGAAGGAGATAAGGGTGAGATAAGATGTTCCGGTTCATTAAGTCATATATGTTTTAAATACTTGTGTCGATATCCTTTACCGATATGACATATATAACTTAATGGACCGAAACGTCTTATTTCACTATTATTTAATAGGTTAGTGTTTGGGTTGTAGCAGATTGGCTAGGCATGAAACTATTGCTAACCGAGGAAAATGAGAGACTGGGGGCAGCGAACTCCAAAACACATTTAAAATATAACTTTTTCTAGGACTCTTGAAGCAACAGAAGTTAGACTAATGAGCCATTCATTGGCAAAAATGGCCCACGGTTTCAAGAATCTCTTGGAAGCAAATGTCGGTTTGACTCACTGGTAATATACCAGTACTAATTTACCATCGAAACGAATGAACGAATCGTAGAACGAGTGGTGGTGTGGAACCCTCAGCTTTCAGCTCTAGAGCATCAGAACTTGACACTGTGTCATTTTCGTTAGTAACATGTAAAATGTATTCGTTAGTAACATGTAAAATGTATTCGTTAGTAACATGTATTCGTTAGTAATATACATTGAATTAGGAAATTATAATAGGAAAAATGGGAAAAGAAAAAAGGGGAGGTGAGAAATGAAAATTAGAAAATTTGTGAGATTATTATTATTGGTAAGAAATGCTTCGGTCCATTAATTCGTATGCATTTCTTACCATTACCACAGCTGAAAACCTACGCCTGTTACTTTGGCAAAAAATTGGGCAATTTACAGCCGGCTAATTCTCCGAGAGCCGGTGGGAGCCTAACGTCTTTTACTTTGGGAAGAAATTGGGGTAATTTGTAACTGTTTATTTTTGGCTACTTCGAAAACCGTTCTTTTTTTTCAGGATTTTGTCGTGGATTTGAGTAAAGATGACATATCAAGAGTGCTGGAGAATTTCGCTCGAAGACCACTGGTTCGGGAATTGTCCGAGCAAAATAACGTGAATAGGAGAATGTTTTACGCCGCTTACAAGTACGATTTCTTTCTCACGGTCTCTTTAAAGTTACTATTGAAGGCAGCAATTTTCGGTATCCACTTGTTTCCTTTTCAATATTTTTTGCTTTTCAAGAACTATCTGTTCCAGAAGCTTCCGAAACTACTGCTTGAATTCCTCACCGTTGGACCCATGCATTGCGGTTACGATTAGCGATATACTTAATAAAGGTCAGCGTTTTGTCGTTTTTTTTTCTAGTGATTTCCGAGAATTTTCGAAATTTCTCTTATGAATGAATGTTCCACACTTTTGTGAACTAAAATTTGTTAATCTTCGCTTGCTTTTGCGAAAAATGCATGAAAATGGGTGTGGTACAGAGGAGGATTTGCATTTTGAGCAGCAGCCGTTTTAGAATTGTAGCGAATTCTCCTGTATCTCTTTGAGAAACGAAAGTAATTAGGGCTAACTCGAGTACTGGGAAGGGTCAGCAACACCACTGCTGGCAAGCCGTTTGTAGCATCCATGTTGATGGGGGCCAAAGTAAGGGAAATGTATGTAGAGGGGAAAAAAAAGCCTGTTTTCGGCTCTCTTAGGTTGCTTAAAGCTATCTGATAATGAACTTGTTTCTTTGATATATATTGTTTACCAACGAGACATTTCGTTCCTTCTTCTTTCTGTTGTCTTCCTTCTCCTTTGAGCACTGTAACCGTCATACTGACGAGGTCCTGTCGTGCGCTGTTGAGTTAAGGCGTATATGACTTAATGAATCGAAACGTCTTATCTCATTCTTGCCTCCTTTTCTCATATTGTTATCTATCGCGCTTTCACCAGTCTGATTTCCAGAGTCAGTCTGGCTGTTATAATCTGCATATCATTGATTCGCACAGTACTAATGAAGCATAGAGCTACATGACACTAAGTATAGAAAGGTATTTTTAAATAGGAAGAAGAACGGAAGAGAAAATAATATTAGGAAATTAGTAAAAGTAGTAAAATTATTTTAATAAAATTATTATAAAGATAAAAAATGTTTCGGTCTATTAAGTCGTATACATTTCTTACCATTACCACAATTGGACCTCGTCAGTCAGTACGACGATTGTGGTAATGGACCTTATCAGTACGACGACTGTGGTATATCCACCGGGTAGAGTAAGGGCAAGGTGAGGGAGAGGGAGGGAAAAATTGGTACATATGATACATATAATATTTCGTTTTTACTACTTTTACTAATTTTACAACTTGAAAAATTTCTTTCATAATTTTTACCAAGCATTGGCTTTTAGCTCGAGATGTGGACAGTATTTATCCGTATTTTATTGAACACGCCAGACGAGTGTATCCTCATTTGGACTGTGAAAAAGAGTTGAAAGTATTGAGTGACCTGTCCAAGCCACATCACTGGTACCCGAAAGCGCGAGAAGTCTTCAGGAAAATACATTTTCATGCAGGTCGCTACTTTTTGAGTTTTTTTTTTTAAAGGCGACAGAATTTAAAAAAAAAAAAAGCTAAATTCCTGTCAATATTTTTGAGTTTTTTCTTGTAAATGCGGCAGAAGACGCGGCATATCCTGAAAGCTAAAATCCCTGTCAATATTTTCCAGGACCAACAAACAGCGGTAAAACGTATGAGGCGCTGCAGCGATTCTATGAGGCCAAGACAGGCTTTTATTGCGGGCCACTCCGGCTACTAGCAAACGAAGTTGCGGAAAAAAGCAATGAAAGGGGTGCGTTGATCCATTCAAATACACTTTTTTGCCATAAAATTCATGCGTTATCGCTTTTTTGCTTGAGTTTTGTCAGTGGCCTCGTTTCCGAAAACGAATCTAGTGAGTTTTGGAGAAATGAAGTTATCCATTACATGCTTTTTTCAATGGGGTTGCTTAGAAGTAAGTTGATGATGGTTTTGACTCTCTCGTATTCGCTTTTAGTACTAGCGTTCCATCGAAACGAATGAACGAATTGTAGAGAAATTGGTTATCTTACAGGCAGAGTTGAGTCTTCGACTTTACAGTTTTACTTATTTTTTATGCCATGCTGGCTTTCAAAACAGTGAAAACGTGACTAAATATCATGATATTTATGATCGTGATATTCATGGTCATGATAGAAATATTCTTTTTCTGATAGGATTCTACAACGGAGGCTAAGTTTATCTGTATTAGTAGACTTATATGCAGTGCAATAAAGCAACTGTACTCAGAACTGAATCTCTAAAAATACGTGAACTGCCGCAGCTTCCCTGGCCATGGGTCTTTTAAATTGGGGGAATAATTTTTTTTTAAAGCAGAAATGCACCGAAATAATTTTCAAAGTCAGTGAATGGTGAAAGACTCAATAAACTTCGAACTGATCAATTTTTATGGAGAAATTTTGAAAGGTTTTTGCAAATTAGCCACGTGGCGGCTTGAAAGCTGTGCTGATGATTCTCGCTCCTAATCGCACGCAAAGTTCGATATGTGTTTACAGCTAAGGGATGAAACACAGACTGCATCGTCTCTAAAAACACGTGAACTGCCGCAGCTTCCCTGGCGCTGCCTTTTAAATTGAGGGAATAACTTTTTTAATGCAAAAACGCACAAAAATAATTTTCAAAGTCAGCGAATGATAAAAGACTCAGTAAACTTGGAATTACTCAAATTTTGTGAAAATTTTGAAAGAGTTTTGCAAATTAGTCACATGGCGGTTTGGAATCTGAACTGGTGATTCCCGCTCCTAACCACCCGCAGAGTTCGAGAAGTATTTACAGCTAAGGGATGAAACACAGACTGTATCGTCTCTAAAAATACGTGATTTGCCTCAGCTTCCTTGGCGCTGCCTTCAAATTGAGGGAATAATTTTTTCAATTCAAAAATGCACAAAAATATTTTTTAAAATCAGTTTTGAATGATGAAAGACTCAGTAAGCTTTCGGATTTTACGAAAATTTTGAAAGGGTTTTGCAAATTAGTCACATAACTGTTCAATACATGGCAGCTTGGAAGCTGTACTAATGATTCCCGT